CAGGGATGGAGGGGCTGCGGTGGGGGTAAGCACTGGGCTGGGAGGCAGCATTTCTGGTGGGACGCTGTTGCGATATCAGTACTATTTGTCCAGGGCAGGCGGTACAATGGCATGCTGTTGTCAGTTATGGCAGGGGTAACAGTGGTATCACTGTGGCTGGGCTGTATATGCTGTGAAAGGCTCTGGAGCAACCTAGAAGATACAAAATTATCTACTGAGGGTATGCATCTGTCTTTGTTGTAATAAAACTAGTAATTCCCTGTACATAGTAGCTTTTCTCAATAAATTATATTTTTCCACAATTGTTCTTCAAGATTTTCTGCTTTGTCCTTTCAATATCTTGTACCAGTTACTGTAGAAGTTAGATATCTGCATTTAATAGAGATAAGTATAATGCAACATACCTGTATGGCATTCTTATTTGCAAAAGCAGAGGTCAGGTGCAATTTATTTTAAAGGCACTCTACACTTGTTTCTGTCAAATTAATAGCTTACAAAAGTCAGAACTTGTATTTGGCTGGAATAGCAAACAAATGTTTTTGAAAGCATGTATGCAACTACATCTATTGCAAATTTGTCTACATTTCCTGATCAGATCAGGGAGCTGGATGGAAAGTCAAATGCACTGAGCTGGTAACATGGGAAGAAAAGGTTACCCTGCTTTACATTAGACTGAAAATAGTTTGAATTGATAGCAACATAGCCCTTCTACTTAGGCCGTTGATAATTGTGTAATTAGGTATACAATCCAGCTAGCTACAAGGTAGGGCTTGGAAGAAAAGATCTGCATAGATTTTCTATTCAGTAATCATTTCATTTTCTATCCTTTTGCCTCTGTGTGGATTCTGAGTGCTGATTAAAGCAAACTTTGCCAAACTATATTAGAATGCTGTGCTGTGTGTGCAGCAGTGGGTGTATATCAGCAGTTTCTATAGAAAACCAAAGTTCTTTAGAAAACAGTGTGGTTTTTACTCGATTAAAGTTAACAGCTGACCTTAACCTAGTATGATGCTTTAGACTGAGATACAATATGTACTGATTTCCTCTGAACAAAGCTATCTCATGCTCAGTTCAGCAGTTCTCCATTCTTGATCTCTTGTAGACTTTGGAATTGTTAGTCAGTGTCTATTGCAAATTGTTCTTTGACCGTGTTTCATATAGCCGCACTAAAGGGCTAGTAATCTGCTTCTGTTTTATTATATTCCTTCTTTTGCTTTTAGCAGATACCGCAGGTTTTCCAAGTACCCTTTTTCTGCAACCTCTGCCTAACTTTCTAAAGTAGCATTTCTTTGTGTGACTAGCGTCAGTGATGTCAGTGGAGCAACTCAAGAATAGATTTTACTCGACATGGATAACAGTTGCAGAAATAGGTCCTAAATTCAGAATGTCTTCAAAGCAAATGCAGTTGGTAGTGGCTTGGGTTCTAAGGGCTTTTCTGTGCAAGTGTGGTAAGGGGCATTTGGCTGCTATCATTGATATTCTTTTTTTTTTCCCACGATGGGACAAAAGAAATAGGCCAGGGGAGATAATTCTGTGACTGCAAATTAGACTATTTTGAAGATCAGCTATATTACTAAGCAATTTATGTCACGAAAGGCATGAAGACTATGAATGTCAGCACCATTCTTGTAGTCTCTCAACTGATGATGTATATTGCCCATAGCTTTCTAGACATTTGCTGCATAATCCATTAATAAAATATTGCTTACATTTTATATTTATGTAGTTTGCACTCCTTCAATCGTAAACACATTTTCAAAGTTATTTTTATGATTACAGAGAATGGTAGAACCTTAGTCGCTTCCATGGAGTTGATTTATGAAGTGAAGTTTCTGTAATTGTAAAATTACTGTTAAGTCTGGTGGTATGGATCTATCTGTATCTTGTACATGCAGTAACTAGTTGCTCCAAGCTTTTTATTTAACATTTACAGCCTTGATTGGTTTCGTGAAAGAACTTTGTTTACCTGTGACTGGTGTTCATAGAGACTTAATGTTTTTCTTTAATTTGGCAGGCCAGAAGAATGTTTGAGGGAGAAATGGCGAGTTTGGAAGCCATCTTGAAAACACAGACGATAAAAGTGCCTAAACCCATGAAAGTTATAGACCTGCCTGGGGGCAGTACTCTGTTTGTGATGGAACATTTGGAAATGAGAGGCTTAAACAGGTAAAACATAGTATTATCTTTGCATCCTTTAACCAGAAAATTTTACTATTATGACAGCTAAGTCACTTGTTTTCAGAGGGGAGACTTTTTTATATATTTTTTTTTAAAGCAAGTCAAGATACATTTGAGAAGTTATACAGCAGAGAACTGTATAAAATACTACATAATGCTTCACCTAGCAAATGGGTCATACATCAAGAAGTGACTGGTTTTTGTTTAGTTTTGGGATTGTTTGGGGTCTTTGTTTGTTTGGGCTTTTTTTTTTGTATGTAATTCTTGATTTTTACAGTAAGGTTCCTTTTTACAGTAAGGTTCCTTTTTACAGTAAGGTTCCTTTTTACAGTAAGGAAAATGATGTACCTGATCACCTGTTTTGTGTGCTTGCCTTTGATATAAGAACCAGTGTTTTAATATTGCTTGTCATGAGTATGCAGAGGCACTTCCCCAAATGAATGAATCCCGATTTTAATATATTTACAGCTCTCACCTTGATTTTGATAATTTCAAACTGTTGTCCCTTCTGTGTGGCAAACACTTGAGTAAATTAAAATATGAATACTTCTGTCTGATTCCATTAGGGAAGTGCGCATGACCAGTTTCTCATCCCAGACTCAGAACTTCTGCAGCCAGCTTAAAGTCTTATCCCTCATCCTGCTCGTCTGCAGAGTTTCTAATTCATGAAAGCCCCTCAGTGACCTCCAAGAGAAAGAGCAGAAATCCTGTTGTGTTTGGGCTGATTAAGATGAAAAGTGTGCAAATGCAACCTTTGGCATACGAATTTCAGGGGATAGCTACAATCTATGTTAACAGGAACAGAATGAAGAAATAACTTTACCTTAAATGACAGTGCCTTGAGAACAGGGAAAGATGTGAGAGGTCAAAGACAGGAAAAAGAACATACTTTTGTTGACATGGCAGGCAACTAGCTGTTAAGACTTGTTTGTAATTACTGCAAGACTTTTCTGAACTGTATAGAGGATAAGTTTTTATTAAAAATAGATAGATAGATAAATAAGGCCCACCTGACTCTTCCATCTTCTAGGCCTTCTAGAGAGGAGATGCCAGAGACAGAGATACAAAGAAGAGGATGAGTCTTGTTTGGCTCTATTTCCCAAAGACAGTTTGTGAAGGGGAAAAAAAAAGGCATAACATGTTGTGCGTGCTTTTCTTACAGATATCTTACTGAAAGTTCATATAGAAGTTGCGTCACAGAAATTAGAATTGATAGTTTCTCATTGTTACTAAATTTATGATTGCTGCTCACTTTTAATAGTGTTGTCAGAAACAACCATGTATGTACATTTTGTTCTACATTAATACGTAATGTTATAGGAAGGAGAGGTATTTATGACCAGAATATTTTGAAAATTTACTTTGTTAGAGATGCAGAACTTCTTTTACTTGCTTGATAAATCTTTTCAAGTAATTCCTGGAATATCAAGAACTGGATTCATTCATGTGTCAGTGTTGCTAAGAATACTTTTGTTTCTTAGACATTCAGCAAAGCTTGGAACACAACTGGCTGATCTCCACCTTCATAACCAGCAACTTGGAGAGAAGCTGAAGAAAGAAGAGAGCACAGTTGGTACAGTACACAGCTGTTTGCAGATTTAACCTAGTTAATAATAATCTACAAAATAGTTAAAATACCTTTTGTTATTTCAGGATAAGTTTTTCTGCTTCCACTAAAGATATTATGAAAAAAGATTTGGATGAAACACCCACACAGAGGGTTGTCTTTTTGCATTTTTTTGCTCTATTTGGATCTCTGTAAGAAAAACATTTATTCAATCCCAAGGGTCCCAAACTACAGTTTCTGCAAGGACACTGTATCAGAGCAGATACGCTACCTCAAAATATTATTATGAAGATTATAATATAGCTGCTTTACATCAAGCTTTAAACTTAAAAACCAACAGCAACAGCCATTGTAACAAAAAGAGTATTATGGTGCAATTTTTTTATTCTCAGTAGAGGCAGCATTGCGTAGTTTTTAGGTCCATTTGCATTGTAGATACTTAGAATCTTGTCATTAGTATTGGATTTTTGTCTTTGGTTTGAAAGGTAAAGGTCAAGGGCAAATGGAAGTCCAGTTTGTGGATCAATTTGGCTTTCATACAGTTACCTGCTGTGGCTATCTTCCACAGGTAGGTTGTACTTCATCAGACTGATAGAATTTTAAGTTTATCTTATTTTCCCCTTACTGATGGAAAGGGCCAAAATTATCATAATGGAAATTAATTTATTTCTGTGAAGTCATATAAAGAAAAAACATTGTTCAGCCTGCTAAAGAAATAAATCATTTGACAGCACTTACAGCTGCATTGGACACTCATAGCTCATAGCTCTTCAACTGCTTGGTTTTTGTCACTTAGAGAAAATGATTTATTCCCCTAATTTAATGTTTTAAGACAGCAGTTTATTAAATGGTAGCATTTACTGTCCTGGATGGTATCAGCACAAAGGCTGTATAATCCTCCAAATCTTTATTTGAAAAAGAAGAAAATCTGTCTTTTGTGTGGTGTAGAACTAATATCTGCAATGCTGTTCCTTCAGGTGAATGACTGGCAGAATGACTGGGTGACTTTCTTTGCCAAGCAAAGAATCCAGCCCCAGATGGACATGATCGAAAAGAATTCAGGAGACAGGGAAGCAAGAGAACTTTGGGCACAACTTCAGGTAGGAGAAATTCTCACATTATAGTGATAGCTAGGTATCAGTTGTTCAGATTTTCTTTTCATAAAACACAGTTCCTGTTTGTTGGTATGCTCCAGGTTCTGTTGGTAACAGACTACAACTTTTAGCGATTAAAATGCTCTTTATTCTAAGGTATAATGGCTTTTGCCACATCACTCTATGCTAATCTTACAAAATGAATGTGTGCCAATAGCACTTTGCCTTACTTTTTGGGAAATACTAGCTCAAGTTCACATTTCTCATTCCCTGTACCATGTTCATGATGAGAAATTTATATAAGCAGTACTGTTCTGCACATTATCTATTCATGTAAGGTTTGCATCTGATTAAGTGACCGCAGTATTAGCTATTGTAGAAATCTCTTCAAGGTTGGTGAGAGATTCCTGAGCCTTCTAGTGGTGAAGTGGGTGGTTGTTACTGTTAAAGCTGGTCAATATTGCAGCACCGAATGCAGTTTCAGATTTTTTTATTTTCTTAGTGCTAAAAAACATTTGGATGACTATTCTTCAGCTATTGGCTTTTATGAAAAATAGAAATCCTCTTGATTTTCTCAGCGTCTCTGTTAACTAGATCATATTCTGTTTCACATTATGTTTTTTTTAACAGACTCTTAAGTTTCAATTCATGCTCTGCATGTATGCAGATAAAACTCTATAATAGTCATTCACCTTAAAATGTAGTACTTACCTGTCTTGCTTTTTTTCCTCCCTGCAGCTGAAGATACCCAGTTTGTTCTGTGATGTAGAAATTGTTCCTGCTCTCCTGCATGGAGATCTCTGGGGAGGAAACGTAGCTGAGGATGATTCTGGTCCAATTATCTTCGATCCGGCTTCTTTCTACGGCCATTCAGAGTATGAGCTTGCAATAGCTGGGATGTTTGGTGGCTTCAGCAGTTCTTTTTACTCTGCTTATCACAGTAAAATTCCTAAAGCTGCAGGGTTTGAGAAACGCCTAAAGCTTTATCAGCTTTTTCACTACATGAACCATTGGAACCATTTTGGCACAGGGTACAGAGGGTCTTCTCTAAACATTATGAGAAACCTTATAAAGTGACTTTCTGCTTAAGCAGAATACTTCCTCTGTTGCTTGGAAAACCCCATACTTGGCGGTACAACTACAGGAGTAGTAATGTTAAAAAAAGCTACTAGACCCTTGACCTTGTTGCACAGCTAAAGACCTAGAATCAGTGAGTCATGCTGAATACCAAGTGTAACATAGTCATCCCTTTTTAGGATAGTTGGGAATACCTTTATGAGGAAAATATCTACGGAAGGAATTTACTCAATTGCACAAAAGATCCGTCAGCGTCAAGAAGGCATTGTATGCTTGAGAATAGGCAAGTTAATAGAAATCAAGCACCCGAGTGTAAATTATTTGGAAGAAGTTCTCTCTTAGGGACCAGTTGTGCTTCAGAGTAGAGAAATACCAGGGTTTGCATTTGCACCTTAATGGAAAATACTAGAGAAGTTTTTGTGAAATGGAAAATTGCTGTTCTTTAGTTACTGAGGAGGCTAAAAAAGTTGCTCATTGCTTTTTGCTGTTCCCCCCTGCCCTTATGATCGATTGCTCAGACTCTTTCAGCTCTTCATGTCCAGTTATGTGCATGAAAACAACGTTAACAAAATATTTTGAAAGTCAGCAAGAAAATTATACAATGGGAACTGTGAGAAATTATTTGGACTTGCTATTCATTATGCTAATGTGATTCTGTTGGATGGAGACTGCTTCCTGTTCTGTTAGAAAGCTGTGTGAAAATACTTCCAATTTTTTCTGGCATGTGTATTTTGGTGCCTCATGGCATTCTTGTAGGCTGTTCTGCGCTTGCCAGTCAGTAGGCTCTTATCTACAGCAATTTTGTTTCCACCAGAACTAGCTACCTCTTCTTGTTTGGATTATGCTTTTGCCCAATAGTGTGCATTCTTAAAAATCTTTTCAGGTAAGACACTTTACACATACACATCCTGTGAAGATGTGCGCTCTCTGTAGTGCAAACAGAAGATGTACTTTTTGACTGTTGTCATTGCCCACAGGATAATGCCATCTGGTTGTGGTGTAGGCTTCACATAAGTTTTCCATAGTTTAGACTACATAAGCTTAAATTTTTCTTCAGTCCCCACTAAATGCACTTTGTGGCTTTTGGGATAAGAGACATCAAACCAAAGGAAGTTAAGATTTAACTCCCAGAACAGCAGCTCAACACCACTGTCGGAAGTTCTTTAAGGGTAGCTTTGCAGACTTGCTATTTCTTATACCTGCAAGATGGTAATACTAAAATTTTACTCTTTTTGATGTAGGCTGGTAATGGTATTTCAGTGGAAACGTACCAGGTAGGTGAGAGAGATGCATGATTCCTAACACGCATTTTGAGTGTTCGGAAATGACTTTAATTAAAAATGTTTTTCACTGGATTTTCGCAGATTACTGAGGGTTTTTTAGTTGCTGGTTTTGCAGTTCTAAGAGTCGGAAGCAAGTTTAGAGAAAATCACGTGATACAACTTTCTCTCCTTAATTCTCCCTTAATTTCCCTCTTACTTTTCTCCCTGGCTGTTTAACTTTTGCTACAAGTTCCAAAGCCTTGCTTGATAGAACAGTTTTTACTTTTACCTTGTTGCTTAAATAAAAAGTTTCACAGTCGATTATTGTTGTCTCTGTTTTCTGAATTAAAACCTTACAACTTGCATCCATTCTTGAGGAGCTACTTGCTCTAACCTGTTGAAGGTCCCTAGTTTGTTAGACAATTATGGTCAACAAAGGTGTTGACGGGAACGTGGTCATGGATTTTAAACTGGACCAGCGTGTCACAGAAAGAAAATTTACATGTAGTTTGGTTACAGTATCATTTGAGGTCTTATCTATGCCTTCAAACTTAATGTATTGTACCAGCTGTTTGGATGTTGTTGATGAAATGAAAAATCCCATATCCTTATCCCATTTACCCAAACTTAACACTGCTTAGTGCAGCTGATTTGAAGAAATGCTGTGGGATTAGCCAGCAGTCAATCTGGTTAGATCCTTTAACTGTCCATTTGCATATGCCTTCATAATGAAGTTAGAAGTTATTTAACAAGGTCACTCTGTCTACAAATATTCAACAAATCAACATGTTTATTTTGCTAAAATACCTAAATACTTTTTATCATTAGAAGGTGAAAAGTGATAATGAAGGTGGATTTTCTGTCAGCCATAGACTTGAGTGATAAACAGTAAGTCTTCAAAGATCACCTTTTCCTAATAGAAATGAATGAAACTATTTTTATAATTGAAGGAAAATTGTGTTGTATGCAGGTTATGTAAATAGAAACAATTGTGTTTAGAGTTTTAACTAAAGAGATATTATGCTTACTTTTTTCAAAGCCATTTTGTGCTACAATTAAAAATGAAAGGGTGTAAAGAGGAATACAAATGGGTTGTAATAGCAAGCTCTACTGTACCATGGATCCCTTGGTTTTGAGTTCTTATAGACAGCTGTTGAATCAGGGGATGGAGAAGGGGATGAAATTTTCCAAGCGCAGGCTGCTGGTGGACCCTTAAGAAGAAATTGCTGCAGTTTTTTAAGGTAATCTTTTTTTTTTACATATTCTATAGTTCTGCACTGCTCTTAGAATTCTCTTTTATCATTTTGTTCCAAGTGTGCCTTTGTTGTTCTTTATCTCTTCTCTCATAATTTAAAGCTAATGTGTTCTGCTTTTCCTTGTCATGTATTCCTTCCTCTTGGCTCCCTCCGTGTATTCTAAATCTGGCAAGTGTGTTTCCTTGTATCCATGTTCTCATTCCGTATTTGCTGGTTCTGTATCATAATTTTGCTGATTTTCCATTCCTATTTGCACAAGCAAAAAGGGTAAAAGAACCACTGAATTTTTCTGAAGTATACAGTGTACATGTATATTGTAAAAAACTGTAATATCCTCTTGTGTTGCTTCTACGTCTTTTCTCAAGATGGATCACAATACATGTATGGCATATGTAGACTAAAGCATCTCAAGGCATTTATTTTAAATACTTTGAAAACTAGATCTCTTTATATTTTTTTCTTAATTAAAACTAAATTTTGAAATTAATTCCTTGGGGAATTAATTAGTGGGTTGGGATATGTTTGTGCAAAACTTCAATAACATTAGCTTCTGCCTTGGAGAGGAGTTAGGGTAAGGGAAACTTGGAAATCTGGACTCAATGGTTAGAATTGAAGGAAAATTCAGGTTGGGAGAGACCTCAGGAGGTCACTTAGTTCAATCTCCTGCTTAAAGCAGGATGAGCTATGAGGACAGGCCAGGTTACTTAGGTCTTTATCTGGTATGTTCTTGAAAACCTCCGAAGATGGAGGCTGCATACCTCTCTGGGCTACCTATTTCATGGCTTGACTGTCCTCATTGTGAAAATACATCCATCTTGAACGTCTCTGCAAGAACCTGTATTTCTGCTGAGTTGCGTATACTTGCTATGTACCCTATGTTTCAGTGTGATTTTTTTGTTTTCATTCTGATGGACTGCTGCCATCTGCAAAAACTGCCTGCAGATATGAATGTTGCACTCTAGTACTGTTTTTCTTCCTGACGTTCATCTTCACTGTTGTTCCAAAATAGATCTGGTGTGTTTTTCTTCCTGACGTTCATCTTCACTGTTCCAAAATAGATCTGCTCGTTTTAACTGATGCTGGACTGTTCTAGCAGAAGTAAAAGCAGGGGAGAAGTGGTATACAATTAGCTTGTCTTGTAGGCCCTCTTTATTACAAAAGATTTTAGGGGGAAATATATTTTTGGTAACTAAGCCACACCAGAATCACATCAGTTTTATTATTTTTCTTTGTGAAATAATACTCAATTACTTTTTGACACATTTTTCAATGAAATCTCAAAGAATTCACTGAAATCTCCCAAGATATCATTGGTGTTGTATACAGAGCTACAGCTTGTGCAATTATACTGAAGATCAGATCTGTAGGATTAAACTGAAGTACTTGTCCTTGCATAGTTCATTACTGAGAAACTGTAACTTGTGTCAAAACAAGGGAGGTTGTTATGATGGAAAGTCTTTTCTTGCTCTTGGCTTAGTGTTCTATATAGCTTCTTTGTTTCCTGTGATTGTGCCGGGTCCTGCTCTTGGGTCACAACAACCCCATGCAATGCTTGGGGAGCGTTGAGGATATACATCACAACAACTCCATACAGGCTTGGGGAGGAGTGGCTGGAGAGCTGCCCAGTGGAAAAGGACCTGGGGGTGCTGGCTGACAGCCAGCTGAACGTGAGCCAGCAGTGTGGCCAGGTGGCCAAGAAGGCCAACAGCTTCCTGGCCTGTACCAGAAATAGTGTGGCCAGCAGGAGTAGGGAAGTGGTTGTGCCCCTGTACTCGGCACTTGTGAGGCTGCATCTCAAATCCTGTGTTCAGTTTTGGACCCCTCGCTACAGGAAGGACATTGAGTTGTTGGGGCGTGTCCACAGAAAGGAAATGAAGCTGGTGAAGGGTCTACAGCACAAGTCTGATGAGGAGCGGCTGAGGGAACTAGGATTGTTCAGTCTGGAGAAGAGGAGGCTGAGGGGACACCTTACTGCTCTCTACAGCTACCTGAAAGGGGGTTGTGGCAAGGTGGGTGTTGGTCTCTTCTCCCAAGTAACCAGCAATAGAACGAGAGGAAATGGACTCAAGTTGTGCCAGGGGAGGTTTAGATGAGATATTAGGAAAAATTTCTTTACTGAGAGAGTGGTCAAGCATTGGAACAGGCTGCCCAGGAGGTGGTGGAGTCACTGTCACGGGAACTGTTCAAAAAGCGTGTAGATGTGGCACTTCAGGACATGGTTTAGTGGGCATGGTGGTGTTGGGTTGATGGTTGGACTTGATGATCTTAAAGGTCTTTTCCAACCTTAATGATTCTGTGATTCTTTAGGTACTGTTAGTCCCAAAGGAGAGAGAAGTAAACAACCTTCTTTGTTGGTATGCATGGGGATACCTGTCTTCTGGACAGTCTTGGAAAACAAACATACTAGAAGCAGTTGTGATCAAAACAAGAAGAACAGAGCTGGGGAACGAAACAGTTACAAACTCCACTACAAGCATAACCACGAGGCTAGGTCTTAAAAACAGAGACAACACCACTCAGAAATAGTCCTTTGTAAGTCCTCAAGTCTTCTCCCGTCTCACCGAGGCGACGGGCGGTTTCCTTTGTGATCTGGCCGTGGTGCTGAACTGTTCGTGGCAGGAGGTTTCCCTGCCCTACCAGTGGGTATTTTCAAGTGCTCTGTTCCTTCCAGCCCATCTGGGATGCTTTTGAGTTGTTTTACTTCCAGTGTTTGAAATGATGCCGTTTGGAGTTGCTTGACTGGAAACAACATGAACAAAAGTGTTAGGAAACCAGGCCTTTCACCTCTGTATTACTAGTTAAATATTGAACCAGCGTGGAAGCCAACAGCAAGCTTTCCTATATCTTGGGTAGTACAGAAGTGATGCAATATATTAACACAGTCTTGCTTCTGGTTGAACCAAAAATAAAATAAAATGTCAGAATGCTGAAAGAAGTGTTACAGTCAGTTACTATTGGCATCTTCAGTGGAAATTGTAGGAGAGAAGTCCATGGCATACTAGACTGCAAAAATTTTAGGTTCAGTAGTAATATTGTGGACAAAGATCCATTCTCCTTGTTTGTTTTTGGTTTTTTGGGGGGCTTTTTGGATTTTTTTTTTTTCCTTAACAGGTAAATTGAAAAAAGAATTAGAGTGTCTTTCACTATGCAGAAATAAGGGTGCATGCTCATTGTGATTTATTTTGTGGCCAAAAACCCTTATTCTTTTCCCCAGATGCTCCATTGCAGCCCAGGGTATGATTCCTTTCAGCAGTTGGAGACCATTGTTCTAATAGCAGGGGAGTCTTCAGGGCTTCATATATCCTGAAATTCAAATTGCTTGGCATTTTCACTATAAAGTAGATAGCATTCCTTTCTCTGTCGAAACCAAATAGCTTCTCTGATTCAATGCAAACAAGTAGTAGTGAAAGGAGAGATAAATGCATGAAAGCACAGTGCAACAGTGGCAACAAAATCCAGAAATTCTCTGGAGAAATGGTAGGCATTGCTGCTCCAAGTGAGAACAAGAACTGCAAGCAGCCTCTTCCATGGATTGCAATGTGCTAGGATTTGGTCATAGCCACCTAACCAAATATGTTACCTTTATACAGACATTATTAAATATTGTAGGGTCTGGGTTATGATCACGTGTTTTAAAGGTTTAACACTTTACACCTGAGGGTGTCAGTGCACTTTGCAAGTATGAAGTGGTTAAATTCAGCAGTACCCAAGGGATCTTATTGCTGTGTGTTACAGACTGTGAAAGGGATAATAGAGATAAAAAGGTGAAATAACATCCTAAACATCACGCTGAATCTAGAGAAGCATATAGGAAGAGTATCCCAAATTTCTTTATTACCAGCTTGAAGCTTTTACTATGAAATTTCACTTGATAAGGTCCATCCCTGAGCACATTACTATTTCGCTGACTTGAGGGCACTTTCAGACAATAAAAATCGTTTTACTGTCTCTTGTAAGAGATCAAATTATGTCCCAAGAAGGGAAAGTGTTCTAAAGATCTCAGTGATGACAACAGAACGACAGTCCACACAAAGGAACTACAAGCAAAGAAAAAACCCACCAACCTTTCTGCATATTTCTGCATATTTCTGGTCGTTGACTTATGGTCAAGCAGCATGATTTAATTGCAACCTTGTCGACAGCAACTTTATTTTTCATATCTTAAGTAATCATAATGCAACACGTGCGCAATTTGTATTGTTGCATTTAAACTCCCTCTAGTGGATTGGTTTCAAAATGACCTCTTCTACGAATGGGATCACAGAGCTGAAAAAAGAAAAACGGGTCCAAACTACAAATACCAGCAGCTCTCAGCACAGTTGAGAGAGGACCCAGGACACACCTCCCAAATTTATTCTAGCAAATATTTATACAAATTTTTATTTTTCATCTATAGTGATAAAAGCCCATGGGAAACAAAGCATTTTGAAACATTATCTCTGGATTTGTTTTTTTGGCTGCTTTTTTTTTTTTTAATTTGGTGGGTGGCTCTTTCTACCTCATAGCAGAGTGACAGTGAAAGAAGGACCCAAACCTTTAATCTTGTTTTGCAGTGGATTTAGCAGAAAGCAGCTGCAGCAGCCTGGAAATTACCATGGAAAAAATCCTGAAAACAGAATTGAAAACTTCCGTTCTGAAGGCGTTTGGAAGCTCGGGAGGAGGATACATTAGCCAAAGCCAAGCTTACGAAACAGACAGTGGACGAATATTTGTTAAAATCAACCACAAACCTCAGGTTAATGATAGCAGATATTTAACTATTAATTATTATTGCATGTAGAGAGCATTTTCTTTTAAAAGCATCTGATTGTTAATAATTTAAAGTTCTGCGTTTTCAGGCTGACTTTTAATTATTCCAGTTTTCCTTTCAGTTTTCTTTTAAAAGCTGTAGTCTATTTTATATCAAGCATTAATGCTACAAGTTTAGTTAATGCAAAATGAGGCGTAATGCAATGTGATAACTCTCAACAACAGGAATTGGCATTGCAATATGTAAAAACAGGGCTAAGTACAGAGCTGTTATTGTAGTACTTGCTATGGAAAAGCCTAAAGCTGAATTTGTGTTCACTGCATTCCTTTTCATGTTTCAGTCAGGAGGATAGAATAGTGGGAGGGAGGGAGGAAGCAGGGTGCCACTGCTAAAGCTCATGCATTATTTTTAAAGCTACAGGGGTTTCAAACTTCCTCACTGCTTTTTGTATTTCTAGCTGTAAGATTCTTTTCTGTTACTAAATGAATACTCAGTTGCTTTTTGTAACACCACGGTGCATCAGAAATTTGCTTTATCAATATCAAAAACATCCTAAAACTGCTGTTCCTAGGAAAAACAGCATCTTTACTTCAAAAAATGCAGAGTTCAGGCTTAATATTTGTACTGTCGTCTCCACCTGGAGGCCATTGACCTGCATGGAAAGGAGAACCAGTTTAAGGATTCGATTTTTTTACTTTGTTTAGTAGTGGCCATCTGCAGTTTTGGAGGGAGGTGGTCTTGGGTATTACCCTCAGAGATGCTGTTACATCTGAGTAGGTTTGTATCTCCATAAACAGCTGGAAATCATGGTGTAATGTAACATATCCTACTATCCTGGGATTAATTTGGGAAAAAAAGAAGTTAGAATTAAGGTACTCAAGTCTTCCTGTGTGGACTGAAACCTTGCTGCTGCTACATTCTTTTATCAAGATGAATTAACTCCTTATAACTTTATAAACAAGGCTATTTTTTCCAAAGTACTTGATGCAGACATCCATAGTTTAGCCCAAGTATATTCTTATTCCTTGACAGGCTAGAAAAATGTTTGAAGGGGAAATGGCAAGTTTGGAAGCTATTCAGAAAACCAGTATTGTGAGAGTTCCTCAGCCTATTAAAGTAATTGACCTACCTGGAGGAGGAGCAATGTTTGTCATGGAGTACCTAAAGATGAAACACCTTAACAAGTATGTCTGTATATCTCTTTTTCTTTTTACTAAGTTTTGGGGCATATTTTCTTATATCTTACAATCAGTGCGAAAACTTCATGAGAAGAACCTCTATTCTCTCAGAGATAGAGCTTATATCTGTCAAGATCCATGTTTGTGTGTGTGTATGTGTACATATTAAAAACCAAAACCAACCCCCACCCCAAAACATATCTATATAGATGTGTGTGTATACACCCCTCCATCCATGTTTTGCTCTTCCCTGACCCTCCACCTGCAATAGAAATGATGTGCTGTACTAGTCTAGAGCTTTGTATGCTGGTCCATGTGTGCTGAGATGCCACTAAAGTGAAGGTGATATTGGCTGAGTTTAGCCCATCTTTCCCTCATGAGATGTTTCAGTTGAGTTTCTTTTCCCAGCCTATCAGTTTTCTTTAAAGTTATAGGCTTCTTATGTCTTTGAAACCTCTGCTTCTCTAAGTATAATCTTCAAGTATGAATGAAGCCAGTCAACAAGGTCAAAGGCACTAGGGTGAGGAAAAATGAAATGGCTAGATAACATGAAATTCCATTTTATCTGTCAACCAAACTGAACATGGAATTCAGGAGTCATAGGCTCCTGAACACAGTCTTTCAGGAGTTACGTGCTTTGTTCCAGGCCTCTATGGGAATGGCTCTGCTGGCAATTGTTTGTCCAACCTATCTATTTGTATTGGGACAATAATGGCAATTCCACAGCCTCCCCAAACAGTTCATTCCAATCCATTCTAGTGTTCCTAGGAAAGATTTTTCTAGTGTCTAACCTCAGGCTTCCTGGTTGCAATTTTAAACCTATTATTTTCTGGGTAAGTTTCCTTCCTTGCAGCTCGTGTTGAGATATCTGTGCAAAATTTTAACTGTTTTTAGTTGTCTGTCTTCTACATGAAGCAACCTCAACTCAATGCTTGCTTCTTTTTAGACTTATGATCCTTACAGTCGTTCAACTGATCTCAAAGCACGAGGCTCAAAAGTAGATACCATTTTCTATTCCCTGCTTTTTAATGTAGAGGTGACAAGGAGGATGACTTGTTCCTCTTTATACAGCCTTGAGTTCTGTTTACCTTTCTTGCAAGAGTATTGACTTATGTACACTTTATTCTGTTACAATGCATTTCTTCAGAGTTGTTGTCTAGTCATTTGCTCCTTGTTATGTACTTGTTAAGTTGATTAAGGTTCTATATTTGCCAAAAATACACTTTGTCATATTTGATTGAGATTTTTTTTCCCTATAATATTTCAGTCACTTGTCTTGTTTCAGTTTTGCTTTGTTTTTTATTCTACAGATATTCTTCAAAGCTTGGAGAACAGATAGCAGATCTTCATCTTTATAACCAGAAACTTGGAGAGAAATTAAGAAAGGAGGGAAACACAATTGGTAGAGTATTGATATGTACTAAACAAAAAATGAAAGAATTAATTTGGCTGTGGTACAGTATTGCATTATAACTTTAATGATCATTGAAGTCAATACTGGGACACCTGTTTCATGAGATGTGCCTCCTGTCCCTATGCCACACTTCTCAAATGTACATTATACACACAGAAGCTATAATTACTATTATAATTTTTAAATATATCCTTTTAACCTTGACAAAACCAAATTAATTTATTTATAATTCTTCAGTATTTATATACTTTGTTGTATAAAATTATGCAGATACTGAAATTTGTTTAGAAATAGTGCTGATATTTGATAGTTATGGCTTTCAGCATTTCCTAAATCAAACTGAAAATTTGGAGGAGTTGTCTTTTTCAGTGTCCATTAAACCTTTCAGCCTCATGTACCATCAATCTCTTAAAATGTTCTTGACCTTACAGACATCCTTTTTTTTTTTTTTTTTTTTTTTTGTTGATTCAGACAATTATTACAGACTATGGTCCCAGTTAGTAAACACGTAATTAAGTTCCCCTTTAAAGATGTTGGGGACTACATTTTTGAACTCAAATATGTAGCGAAATATACAATTGCTGCTCCTTGAAGACAGCTGTAACTGCAGTGTACGGTCATGATCCAGTTTCTGTTGACTTCAATGGAAACACCTTCCATCATTCTTTGGCAAGTGGATTAAGGTGTAAATGAAAAAAAAGAAAAGGAAGTTATACAAAGATTTATTCTTCTTTTAGAGTTGTTAATACTAAAATCTGAATCACCAGTCTGTATCTGTGTCTTTCCCATGACTTCAGGGATGGACCAGGTTTGACTCTTAGCGGTGGACGTATTATAATTCATTATTTTTGAGTGAAGGCTGAATTACTGGCAGGTCACAAATAACCTATGAATCAAAAATAAGCCATGTTTAATGACAGCATGTTCAAGTGTCAGAACAGTGGACTGCGGATCTGTGATCTGAACTCTGTTCCTGAATGTCTAATGAATTTATTCAAAGAAAAGTCACTAATTGTGCCTCCATTTCCATTCAGTGTCTTCAAGCTTAAGATAGTTCTTTCCATCTTTAGGGAGGGTTGTGACCATGAAATAAGTGTAACATTGTTTAAAATTATTTTCTATGCCTATTCTCTGAAATTTAGTTCTGTGTTTGTAAACTTTACTATGTAAGGATCTCAAAACTCCCAATATTTATTTTGTTTCTTAGGTAAAGGAGCAGGTCACTCTGAGCCTCAGTATGTGGATAAGTTTGGATTCCATACAGCCACTTGCTGTGGTTATATACCACAGGTATGTACTATGCCTGTGAAAGCAGCTAATGTACTCAGGTAGTTCTATGAACTCCATATACGAAAGCTTGTTTCATTGAGCTTCTGCTTTATGATCACGGTCTTGCTTTCACTCCTTCATTTTGACCTGACAGTGAAGAGAATATGATGGCTATTCAGTGCGTGTTAGCTTGCTACAATGCATGTAGCAAGCAGACACAGTGGATCGAATAAGAATTTGAAATTATGTGGTGGTTCTTTATCTTGGTGATACTTAATAAAATAAGTATGCCTTCACAAACCATGTCTTGGGTTTGTTTTTTTCTAAACCCCTACTATATGGATCTCAAATGGCAAAATCCAATGCTACAAGTCAACTTATCACCAAATTAGAAATGCATTACCCAATAAAAATGAACAAATACTTTTGCATTTCCATAAAGATTTTGGAATATAATATGGAGCAACTGAAATGATCTCACCAGAAGCTCTCCCTCTAAACTACATTAAGAAAATTTGAATGAATGAAAATAACCAGAACCTCAACTTATATCTCATGTTAAAGACAGCCCCACCTAAGCATGGAAGAGAGCATCACTCCCAAAAGAACAATCAACGAAATGGCTAATAACGTTGTGTGTAGGTCATACTAACGTTGTCTAGGCTATTGTGTCAGCTTCGAACATTTTAACTTGCTATCTATGCCTTATTAATACTGACTATGTATATGCTAAAATTGTTTATTACAAACCTCTGTATCGTATTTTCTAGGTGAATGAATGGCAGAGTGATTGGCCTTCCTTCTTTATTCGTCACCGACTCCAAGCTCAATTGGATTTGATTGAAAAAGATTATGGAGACAGAGAAGCCAGAGAACTTTGGTCACAGCTAAAAGTATGAACCATGTCTTAAATCAATCTCTCTCCTTCTCCCCCTCCTTCTTTTTTTAAACTTGGTATCAGGGGAATTTTAAAGGTGTTTTATAAGAGATTTACATAGCTTTTAATGAACAGTAGTAACTGGACTAGCTTCACAGCTGGTCCAACAACATTGTCAGCTGAAGAGAATTCATGTTGCTCTTTCAGTTTTTTATAGATAGTGAAAATAAACCTGTAATTCAGCACTGACATTTGTTTCTTAGAATACAGCTAATAATAATAATAAGATGGTAAATCCTGTCTAAGAACTTGGTGTTACAAAATAACTAAGATTCGGCTGCCCAGGCAGATTTTTTTTTTTTTTTTTTTTAATTGGTCCAGGGTCACAGCTGAGATTGTGGTTCATGTCATACTCCATGCAGCACTTACGAAACAGCCAGCAATGTATTCCTCTGCAAGCTCTACATCACAAATTTGTTCCTTATATCTGGCTAATTGGTACAGATGTTTACTGCTGCCCTTTTTGCCTCTGAAAACTTTAAATGAAATTTATTTTATATTTCTTGTGACAGCCAATACTATCCCTGTCTAGAAACAATACATTAATACTAAATATTGATACTACAGGTTGAATTAAGTGGCTTGTTAAGCTCTGTCAAGAACAATCAGGAACATATATTACTGGCTTATAGTTTAGGTTTATGTTTGTAGCCATCAGCTTCAAAAGCGTTCCATGCGGACTGAAAACAGGCAGTATTTGACTAACTTAGTCCCTTATATACTACAGTACTTTGTTTTATTTAGTATTTTCTTCAAAACTCTTTACTTGTTACATGTTTGTTCATGCTCTTTCAGCTAAAGATTCCTGAAATGTTCTGTGACGTAGAAATTGTTCCTGCTCTCCTGCATGGGGACCTGTGGGCAGGCAATGTGGCTGAAGACGACTCTGGGCCAATTATCTTTGACCCTGCTTCCTTCTATGGCCATTCTGAATTTGAACTGGCCATTGCTGGAATGTTTGGTGGCTTTAGCAGCTCTTTTTTTTCTGCCTATCACAGCAAAATACCCAAAGCTCCAGGATTTGAGAAACGAAACAAATTGTATCAGCTCTTTAATTACATAAACCACTGGAACCATTTTGGGACAGGGTACAGGGGATCTACCCTAAATGTAATGAGAAAACTTTTAAAGTAACTAATAGGTTTGAGACATACCGACATTGTCCCTTAGTAATTAACGGCCTTGCTTATCAGAAGTAACACAAACTAGGAATTTATGTTGATGATAAACCACCTGACATGTAAAAGGCTTAGTGCACTTTTGAGCCTCACTAAATTTTAAGAGTGATTGTGTAATTTTTAACTTGCACACCAGTTTACTAGCACAGGTTGATTTTTTTCTGAAGGAGAAGACTGCATTGTTTGTGAAGACTTCACTAGGCTGGAAAAGTAGCATGACAGTCATCCTAACCTCACCCTCTGCAGAGTCCCACTTCTTAGCTGCTGTGTTCCCACAGTTGTTTGCATCTTGCCACTTCTGCTGCTGCTCTATCGGCAGTTTGTTATTGAGAGCTACTGTTGTGGGATTGTGGTGCTGGAAGTAATGAGTAGTTCCTTATTCCTTACCTGTCCCCTTTTTTGTTCTGTTTTAGTTTTCCGCCTCTGTTTCCATGCCTTTTCCCATTTATATTTCTGTCCTCTTTCCTTTCCCCTGTGAAGTATGCCGATCCAAAATTTAAATCAGATTCTATGAATCTGAAAAGGAAAACTTTCTCTTTTTGATTAAAAAAGTAAACAAGGCCCTTTGGACTGCACTTGGCAAGCATATATAATTAATAACATTTCTAATATTTATTTTAATTTAATGTAATTTACTTACATGATTTTGTTTTTCTCTTGCTATGAGAAATTAAATTACAGTGGTATTTCTTAAAAGGGACGTCTCTGTAGTTCCTTGGTAATTAACCGTATGGTCAGAAAGTGGGTTGTTACCACACAAGTTTGATAATAACATATCATAGTTTTAGTATGATATTGTAGTATGTTATACTATGATAGTAACATATTTAAATACCTTTGTAAAAAGCAAAAAGTGGGAGGGAGGCTTAGTGTTTTGATAGCAAGAAAGCATCTATTGCTGCTGTGCTGGTTGGTGCTTGATTTATTTTCAGTTTTATAAAATAATGTACAGTAGGCAAAGCTAGTCTGTTCTGCCACTGCTGGATTATTGAAGGAATGGTGTCAAATTAGATTTATAGTGTTTTTTAATATTCCTAACTGCTTTATTTTGACAGAAAACATAGGCAATGAGAATTTGGGGAGAAAACTGTGCAACAAAGATATTGGCATACAATGTGAGCTAGAGTACATTAACAAATTTGTATTTTTTTTAATGGAAGAAAGTGGTAAAGAAGGTAAATGTAAGTGCAGTCCAACAAATGCTTATGTGAATCAGAAAATTCAGGTAAGAATGACTGAACTTACGTATTTAGGCTTCAGATGGTTGTCACGACTAATACCTAAAACATATTCCAAAATGGTCAAATCTGTTTAGACCTTTTTTCAGCTTTAAATGGCTGTGCTATAAGGATTTAATAAACTTTAAAGTTAGATGTTGTAATTTAAACTGTTTAAAAAAATGCATTTCATTCTCTGTTAATATAATACAACTAATTATAAATTTTTACTTCCTTTGAATTTGGGCTACAACTAGGGGAAGTTGTAACAGTGTAGTTATAACACTTAGTGTAACTAGAACAGCAGAAAAGTGGAATAATAGAGTTGAAATTGTAGCCGATAGCTAGAAGACCCAGGTCTGAGGAAACAGAAAAGTGCATGCTTACTAGTATTTATGAATGTTAACAAAAATACGTGTATTACATTGGAAAGTACATGTGAACTTCTCCTTCTCAAATAAAATACTTGCCTTGCAGAAACTAGGCATTTGGTGTACCTGCATTTTGTGGTTGTGGCTTGCGTTAATGAATTTGAGCCTGGAGATAAGATATTTGGGTGTGGATGGAATTGCTGGATACTAGGAAAGAGAAATTACCTGTTCTAATGTCCTGGGAGACTTAAGTGCCTGCCTGAATTTCCTTTATCATCAATGGAGGGAGACGAGCACCTCTTGAAGGTAACTCATCTCACCCTGAGCACCCATTTTAGTTTATCACTTGGCCTGATTCTTGGAGTTTATTTTCTGTTAAGTAAAAAGTAACCAGAGGTCACTTAGTCAACGTCTGCTTTAGGCTGACTTTATTATTCTGGTGTGGTGATGTGTCAAGAGAGAAGTGGAAAAGTAGTGCTTGTTACCTGTTAAAATACTCAGTTAGCTGGGGGGAAGGTGTGTGGGAAAGGAGAGTGGATGGAGATATTGTGTGTCTTGGGCTGAAATATGACAAAATATCTTCCTGAGAAAGCTAACGGGAGAGAATGTGGTATGAAAGATCGTAACTGCTGTGAGGGGGCAGCCATTTGTTCCAATCTGTCCACTTGCTTCCCTTCTGTATTGTAGCTGTCGCCATTCCAACGTCGTTTCCAGAATTTTATGAGATTTAGATAACGAGTTGACAACATATTATTCAATGTTTTGGCGTGGATAGGGTAAGAAATGGAGAGGGTCACGGATAAGGGTGTAATCCCGCTGCCTTCCACACGCCTTTTGCAACACCTGCGACATGACGCGAGTAGCAAATTCAGGGCACTTTTTCCTGCCACCAGAGAGCTGCTGCGCAGCAGAAACGCGGGCAGGGTACAGCGGGGCGTTTTTCCCAGCTCGCCGAAGAAACGTCAACCACGGCCTCTCTGCTCCGCCAAGCCGCAGGAG